TTGCCTGAGCTTCTCCTTGACACTGAGCCCAGTAGCTCCATTCAAAGCCTGCTGGGTTCTAACAGGATGCCTCTGAAACCTCTAACTCTGCTGGCCATTCCCCTCTTTGTGAATCACCTCCTTCTTCCCTCAATACAGAGAGAAAAGCAGACACATTTACAGAAGAGAAGCCACTGTTCTGGGAGAGACAGTAGCTGCCTGAGTTTCTTTCACCTCTTAGAACTTGGTTTTTGGTCTTCCTGACTCTAGGTTCTAAGAATGTCTCATTGAGCTGCCTTAAAACATCAGAGTTTAAGCAATGTTAAAGCTAAATGTTCAAGACAAGTCAGGAAGCCACTAAATTTTTCAGGTTAAGACAGTACCTGGTGAGGATTTTGTTTAGATGTTTTGGTAAAACCATCACTTTTCGATTTATTTCCAGTTGTAGTGAGGAAAATCAAATATGCAAGTGATTAAGTTATGATAACAGCTAGGTAGCCTCCCATTATGTTCCTATACATCCAAACCATTGTGCTAGAACCAGGCAAAATGCATGTTTGAAAACAAACAAAATGTTGCAGAGGCTGTGACTGGTTGAATTTCACAATTAGATACACCATTACAGAGTAGCTACTGAAGACAGGGCACTTCATAAAATAATCCCTGATCAAATAATAAATTTACAGAAATATCTTCTGCAATATCCCAAGTTAATATTGCTACACTCTGTGATCCCTCAGCCCCCATGTTGTGGAGGGGGCAAAATTGCAATGTATACAGTCCAGGGGGGAAATAAAGAATATCCACATGCTTCTGCCACTTTCAATGCTTTATTCACTCAAATTAATCAATTTCACTCTATAAGTTCTTAAGAAAACGATGATCTTTAATGCTAGGCACTGCAACAGACATAATGAATTCACAGCAAACAATTCTAGATTACTTCTAAGGGCTGCAAAACACACTTAATCTCCACTGCTGTCATGTATTTAATAATAATAATAATAATAAAATCAATAAAAGATATAAAAAACACACATACACTTAATCATGACAGGCTAATGACAGACATTCCCTCTGCATACTAAGTTCAAAAGTCTTAAGTCTTAGGCTTTGAGTCCAGCAGATGCACACTCACTTAGACTGCGGTGACCAGGTCTGGAATCAAGGCAGGCCTTTCCTGGCATGAACTGGAAGACTAGTTGAGGAGAGGGTCGGAGGGAGAAGTGTTGTGGCTCTCTCATCAAGGTCCAGCAGAGGAGGTAGAGTTTGAGAGTGGTGAGGATCTCAGGATCTCAGAGGATCAGGAAACAATGACAAGTGACAGGATGTCAGGTCCTCATCAGGCTCTCCAGCTCCAGTGCATCAGAGGGCAGCCTTGTTTTGGCTTGCTAAATCCACTATTCATTAGCTCTATTATTTATACTAAGTTTGGGGGCTTTTGACCCCCCTTTCAATTCTTACCAGCTACCACTGGATTTCTCCATGACATAATTTACCCTGGGATCAGATATATCTAGTCTGGGAAATAAGTAACTTGTTTGAGGCCAAACTGGAGCACTCTATGGGTGTGCCTGATAAAACTACCTGTTTCAAAATGGAGTTTTTTAAATGGAGTTGCTTAGGCTCAAGCCTAAGGCCATCTTCACACCCCAGTTTTTATTTAATTAGCCCTTTTGAAGTTCTGCCTGTTTTAGAGGCAGAAGCCTTTTGATTTCCTGGAGACCCTAAACTTTGTTACTTTGCAAGCCCTAGTTCACATCATAATAAGTACTACAGCTATATCCTTGCATTGCCTATATTTTGGTGTTAAAAAAAAAAGAAAAGAAAAAGAAAAAAGGCAGAAAGCATGTTTATAAATTGAATTTGAAATTACTTGGTCATTTTGCAAATCTAAGGGAGGTTATTAGCAGAAAAGCAGTAGCAAATCAATTTTAAAAAGGGCCAAGTAACCAAGAAATAAAGACCTAATAGATGGAATAAATTGGATGGGCACAACTGCTTAATGAATTAGCACACTGAAAAACATAGAAAGGAACAGGGAAAGACAAAAAAATAGAAACACAAAAATAAAATTAAGAGATAAGAGAATTGAAATATAATTATCAATATCTAGATAATAGCATTTTCAAAAAGGGAAAAAATAAAAATAGAAGGAACTATTTAAAGAGATAATAGGGAAAGTTTTGTAGCTTTAAAATATAAAATAATAGAAAGAGAGTGAAAAGACTCAGAGATTATGAAGTGGGCATTGTTGAAAAAATTAAATGAAAACTAAAAAGGCATGAAATTTTAAGTGACAGCAAAGAAAAGTTCTAAAATCTGCCAGAGAAAAAGAGCAGTTCACAGGCAGTCAGTATAGATAGGTAAATCGAGTCAGGTTGGATCAAGGAGGCCAATTTTGAGCTCAGGAAGTTGTGGACTTTCCGTTGTCCACCCTTACCAAGAACCTGCCCCTGCTCCTGCTCCAACCTGTTGCTAGGGTAACCTGTCCCAGGAATTGCCCCTCCCTACAGGAGTTGTAAAAGTTGTTCATTACTGTCTCCTGGGCTGCTTCCTGCCTGGATCACTCCACCTTGGCCCCTCCAGCCCATCTGCTTCTCACCTATTGGCCATCCCACCTGGGCCAAGCAGGAAGGAGAGAGATAAGGGGGTAGAAGGCAGAAAAACAAAATAAAACAAAACAAAAGTCTAGGATGTATACAAGAAGCAGGACACTCTCACTTCTTGGCATACCAGGATACCAGCTATGGCCCCTTCTCCCTCCAGGGGAGAAGTCTGTATTAATATTTTTTAAATGAACCCTGCTTTCTATACTTGCCTCAGCATGCTTCTCTAATGTTCAGACTTCAACATGTGGGGAAGCAGAACTCCTCATCCATAACTGGTGGTATCAGAATAAAGTCCCTGGGAGCAAATAGGAAAGCTATCTATGCCTAAGGAGAGGAATTTGGTTCAAAAGCTCCAAACAATGACATGGCTGAAGCTTGTGTGTGTGACCTGCTCTCACACATGCACAATGAGGCACACTGCAATATCTTTTGCTATCACAAAATTTTGGTGGAGTTATGTTTTTGTGGTGTTGATACTGCCAGTTACCAATGACGAGTTCTGCTCCCTCAAATGTTAAAGTCTGAACATTAGAGAAGCACGTCGAGGCAAGCATATAAAGCAGGGTTTATTTAAAATGGAGTAACATAGACTTCTCCCGGGAGGGAGAAAGGGGCCATCGCTGGTATCCTGGTATCCCCAGAAGCCAGGTGTTCTGCCTTTTTTATTTGTCCTAGGCTTCCTTTGTTCTCCTGCTTTCCCCCCACCCCTTATTTTCTCCTTCCGCATACATGACTAGGCCCAGGAATGCCCAGGTATGCTCAGTGGGATGGCCAAAGATGAGAAACAGGTGGGCTGAAGAGGGAACATGATGCAGCCCAGGACCCATTAATTAAATAACAACTTTATAGCTCCCTTTAGGGAGGGGCAATTCCTGGGACAGGTTCCCTTAGCAATAGTTTGGAGCAGAGGCAGGTTCTAGATAAAGGTGGAGGAGGGCTCTGAAGGAATTAACATTTCAATCCCTTGGGGGACAGTCTCCAACTTCCCAGAAATCACTCAAAATTGACCTCCTTGATCTGACCTGACTTGATTTGCCTATCTACACTGACTGCCTAATTCTGTCTTCAGTACTATTAAAATCTTGGTCCTTTCTCCCCAAAGCCAATTCAATAACAAGGACATGGTTTGGAGAAAATGGAAAAAGGAGGTTTATTGCTTTGCTAGCTAGGGAGAAGCACAGGGAACTCCTGTCCCAGAAGCTGTAATTCTCTCATAAGAGAGAACAGAGGTTTTTAAAGAAGCCATTCAAAGGCTTTATTCTAGGTGTCCTTGTAAGGGGATTGTGATTCATTTGTTCATTTGGGGGAGGGAAAAAAGGAAAAAAAATCCACTTTAAGATAAGCCTCAGGGGCACTGCAGCAAGGGCCATATTCAAAGCATGAAGTGGGCCACTGTTACATTGGGAGGGGCTGGGTTGCTGGGAATCCAGCCCAGGCCCTCGCACACGCTAAGCACATGCTCTACCACCAAGCCACACCCCCACCCATGAAAACCTGCTTCACAGAAGCATTTAGAGCGATGACAGTAGGAGAATAAATGCCAGGACTGCTCTATTGGAAAGTTAGTAATGGTGTTGTTTTTAGGGACAACAGGTACTAGAATGCAAACATGAATTAACAAGTTTTTAGCTGATTCATTTTACTTTGGAGAGTGACACCTGATCAGTGACTTTCAAGAAGGAACAATAGGAATATGGCTATTGGTTGCTGTTTCTGTGGCCTTGAAGGCCTTTGAAGGTGACAACTGTAGCAGCTTAGTGTCTGAAGGTGACTCAGAAACCCGCTCTGGGTTCAGCTTTTCTTCAGGAAGGAGACACCCATCTGAGATACCAGACTAGTTCCCTGCAGTCACAAGGCCTGGCAGCCTGGATCTGCCCAGCCCCGCTTCTCTGTCAGAGTTTGGGATGATGTTCCCAGTGCTGGGTCCTCAAAGTAAATGCAGCCAGGCCTCTTTCCCCAAATGTGAGGGAGAAAGAGGGGACAGGACAGAAGGGGCAGAGAATAGAAGCAGTGAGAAAGCCAACAATCAAGGTCTCAGTAATGACAGTGGCAGTAGTAGCAGGGCCAAGAACCAAAGCAACACCTCCCCAAAGGCCACGTCTTGGAGACCCAGATGAAGCAGCTCTCCCCCCAGTGTTCCAAGGGAAGAGATGGATTATTGCTGGCCTAAACATGGTGCGGACTGGCTGACACATTTGGGGCTATGGCCCATGTGCAAATCTATACTTATACATGAAACTGGGGAATGTTGTGCCAGTAATTATTTCAGATATGCCAAATATTAAGCATGTACTCACAACTGCACTAAGGCAGTTTCAGTGACCCTGACAGCTGAAGAATTTCCCTGGGGTAAGAGCTCTGGGGCTGGTTTTATAGAGCAGGGTTGTTGCAGGTGGACTTTGACCAGGGTCACTGCCTTTGCAGAGCAGTTCCATAACAGCACCAAGGAAGCAATAATTGGTTCCTGTGAAAGAAACCAGACAGGAAGAGGACTGCAAGCTGAGCAGAACTGGGGGCCTGAGCTTGCGACTCTTTCCCTTCTGACTCTCAGCTTGTTTGGGGAAACAGATGTTCTCTCCCATTAAATTCCAGAGCATCTATCTTTTTTTTTTTTTAACCCGCACACACAACAAAACCTCAAACACTCAGAGCACACCTTTTTGACCTAATGAAGCCTTAAAATGAAATGCAAGAACACAATTCATTTTCATTACCTGTGGTGTTCAGAGGTGACTTTTGAAAACCATGTATGCCAGGACATTCATCAAAACCATTTTCAAGGAAAGCTTCATAAACTGCACTGTTTGGGGTTGGGGGGATTAATGTCAATGTGGGGGAGGGGGGATGAAGTCATAGAAGGGGATTTGTGGCATTGGGGAGAAGGTTCTCTAGCACAAACTTATGCTGCTACCCTACGGGATTTATTCTGAGAAGTGCAGGTGAAGAAAAATGGCCACTGTTATATCTAGATTGGCAAGGTGTTAATTACTCTGTAGGTTGTAACTTTAAATTATTTAAGGTTATGCTGCACTAGTATTCCTTAGAGGAAATTGTCCTTAAAGCTAGGAAAGGGAATAGGCATGTTTTTCCTAAGGCTGTTAAATAGAAGTAATTGAGTCTATTATACTAAGAGGGTGAGTTTTTCTTTTTTTTCCTAAATATTTTTTTTTAGTTGTTGATGGACTTTTATTTTATTTATTTGTAATGTGGTGCTGAGAATTGAACTCAGTGCCTCATGGATGCCAGGCAAGCACGTTACCACTGAGCCACAACCACAGCCCCTAAGAGTATAAGTTTTAAGACTGCTTTTCTTTGTTTGCATGATTATTCATGCTTAGAGCACTGTATATTATTTTTCCTATTTCAAGAAAATTTAGCATTTGTAAAAGAAACCAACTTCCCATTTAAAATTGTCTGTTAACTATGAAAGCTGTATACTTGAGTCATTTGTATATCTCTTCATACTGTAGTGGTCTTTCCTTTGTTATTGACTGATACAGTATCCTGATTACAAGGTTATTTTGTACTTGTCTAAATAACTTAGTATAATAACAACTGCTTAAAAATAAAACAAAAGCACCATGTGATATACATGTATCTTGTACAATGATGATTACTGTAATCAAGCTAAT